TGGGCCTGGGCGCTGTCCCTCAGCTCTTCAACTCAAGGCTAGCGCTCTACCACTTGAGCCACAGTGCCACTTCTGGCTTTTTTCTTTTTGCTTATGTGATGCTGAGGAATCGAACCCAGGGCCTCAGGCATGCAAGGCAAGCACTCTATCACTGAGCCACCTTCCCAGCCTCTGTTTGAGACTCTTACGTTCAATTAATTACCAAAAAACCAGAAGTGAAGCTGTGGCTCAAAGTGATAGAGAATCAGCCTTGAGCAAAAAACGATCAAGCCCCATTACTGGCATTAAAAAAAAAGGGGCTGGGAATGTGGCTTAGTGGTAGAGTGCTTGCCTAGCATGCATGAAGCCCTGGATTTGATTCCTCAGTACCACATAAACTAAAAAAGCTGGAAGTGGCACCGTGGCTTAAGTGGTTGAGTGCTAGCCTTTAGCAAAAGAAACTCAGGAACAGTGCCCAGGCCCTGAGTTCAAGTCCCAGGACTGGCAAAAAGAAAAAAAGAAAAGAATTAATCACTCAAATGCCTCCATTGATTTACTGAAACCTTCCCTCATCTAACTGTATTTGTTTATACCACTGATTGTACCATGACTACATTTATCAAAAATTTACTTTGGTTAAATTCCATTAGTGATACATGTATTGACACATGAGTAAATGTTTTACTTTTTAATCTTGCCATATTTTGCATGTAATAGACATTAAAATAAATGTACATTGAGCTGTTAAAAAAATACCAGCATTTTCGATTCCTCAGCACCACATAAGCAAAAAGAAAAAAGCCAGAAGTGGCGCTGTGGCTCAAGTGGTAGAGTGCTAGCCTTGAGTTGAAGAGCTGAGGGACAGCACCCAGGCCCAGAGTTCAGGCCCCACGACTGGATCCAAAAAAAAACAAAAACCCAGCATTTATTAGAGTATTATTGCCTTATGTGTCTGCTTTGGATCTGAAGCTAGATTAGTTACTACTTCAGAAAACTGAGGCAAAGGTGCATTATGAAAGCTGAAAGGAGGGACTTCCTGGGAGGAGCCAATGGCTGACACAAAATCAACCCACATTTCAATACAAGGTCTCAAACCAGTTTGTGCAGTACCTAGATTGACAAAATTGCATTTGCAAAATTAAGTTTGCCGCCTGCAGAGCTCCACCAGTTTGCAGGTATAGAATAAGCAGGGTAATAAAACACCCCAAACTGTTGAATGTGAGCTTAGTCCTAGATAATACATAACCGGCAATCTCACTGACAAACATTTACAGACCCTGGACAGAGCAGAAGAGTCAGGACAATAACACCAATATGCAGAATAGACTTAAGAGAAAACACAGGCCCACAGCTCCCTTGGGGGAGTGGAAAGAATTGGGCATCCTAACATATCTCTACCCCAGGCAAACCTTCTGGGTAGAGAAGGTAGGTGCTTTCCCTTCTGTGCCCACTAATAGCGTTTTGCCAACTGCTAGATGACGATTGGATGACTTACTTTTATGGCTGGACCTAAAGGAATATTTGCATTGCATCTTGGACAAGCCTATATAGCCTTCCAGAAGATCCTAGGGTAGAGATTACCTTGAGAGACCTTAGAATAGCGTCCCTGATTTAATTCTTTTGGGTGCTGGTTCTTCTGGGGCTTGAACTCAGGACCTGGATGCTGTCCCAGAGCCTTTTTGCCCAAGGCTAGCACTCTACCATTGGCGCCACAGCTACATTTCTGGTTTTTGTTGGTGGTGGTGGTAGTTTATTGAAGATAAGGGTCTCAGGGACTTTCCTGTCCAGGCTGGCTTCGAACCTCGATCCTCAGATCTCAGCCTCCTGAGTAGCTAGGATGACAGGCCTGAGCAATTTTCACCTCTTTGCTGCCTCCCCAGCATCCAGCTGCTCCCTACCCAAGGCTCCACAGAGCCGCGGGAGAGGGGGGGGGGAAGTGCTTGTGGGGGAAGGTAGGGATCCCCCCCACCCCACCTCCAAATGGTCCACTAGGCCACACCCCGCCTCCACCTCAGGAACCTTCCCCTGCGGGGCCCAGCGGACTCGGCCATTTCTCACCAGCAGGGGGACCCGCCCCGGAGACGACGCTAGGATGGTACTTTCCGGAAGTGACGTCAAGGCCGCCCCGCCTTCTGGCTCTGCCGGAAGTGACGCGCGGAGGTCAGCGGCGGAGGACAGCGCGTTCGGGGTATGGGCCGGAAGGGATGGGGGGGGTATCCCCGGGAAAGGAGGATGGGGGGGGCGGCGGTGGCAGCGGGAGTGGGGGGGGGCTGGGGGGTGGTCTGGATGAGGCCGCGGCGCACCCCGAGGCTGAGCCCCAGCGCCTCTGTCTTCCCACCGGCGTCGCCCCGCAGGGTCCCCGCCAAGATGGGCCGCGAGTTCGGGAACCTGAGCCGGGTGCGGCACGTCATCTCCTACAGCCTGTCGCCCTTCGAGCAGCGCGCCTTCCCCCACTACTTCAGCAAGGGCATCCCCAACATGCTGCGGCGCGTCAAGGACAGCCTCCTGCGGGTGGCCCCGCGTGAGTACCGCGCATCCCCGGCGCGGGAGGCGGCGGCTGCCGGCCCGCCCGAGAGGCCGGGACGCTCCGACACTTGATCGCACTCAGTGACTGTCCCCCGGCCTCCCCCAAATGACCGGCCGAAGGTCACTTGTGGGACTCCAGCGTTCTCCCTGTGAGGTCAACCTATCTCACTTTTCTTATCGTGGGAAATGTACCCGCTGGTGCCTAATGCTGACAGGTGCAGGACAGAGCGACTCCGCCCAGAACCACGGGCGCCGGGGGAGGGGGGGGGTAAGGAATATGCCAAGGTGGTCAATGCCAAGTGGATCTTTCATCCCAATGATGGCGATTTTTGGCTTAGTGTATAGTGAGGGGTCATCTTTATTTTAGCTTCTTGTGGAATGGATGTGTAACTTAACCTTTTTTTTTTTTTTTTGCCAGTCCTGGGGCTTGAACTCAGGGCCTGGGCACTGTCTCTGAGATTCTTTGGCTCAAAGCTAGCACGCTACCACTTGAGCCACAGCACCACTTCCCGCCTTTTCTATTTACGTGGTACTGAGGAATTGAACCCAGGGCTTCATGCATGCTCAGCGAGCACTCTACCACTAAGCCACATTCCCAGCCTGTAACTTAACCTTTCTTGACTCTAAAGTCTAAAAGTAAGTTTTGTTTTTGTGCTGGTGCTGGAGCCTGGGTACTGTCCTTGAGCTTTTTTTTTTTTTCCTTTTTTCTTCCTCTCAAAGGCTAGTGCTCTACTACTCGAGCCATAGCTCCAATTTAAAGCTTTTTGGTGGTTCATTGGAAGTAAGAGTCTCACAGACTTTACTGCCTGAGCTGGCTTTGAACTGTGATGCTCAGATCTCAGCCTCCTGAGTAGCTAGGATTACAGGCATGAGTCACCAGCACCTGGACTAAAAGTAGTTTCTTAAAAGCTAGAGAGCAGAACCTGGCCTAAGTCAGACAAGAAGGACCTGTAACTCTGTCATAGGTACTCATCACTTATTCTTACTTTAGATTTTTTGTAAGCATTTGTAGGGGTTTGTCTTTTTTTTTTTCTATTTCAGTTGATTTTATTCTTATAAAACTGCAAGGTTATGAACACAAACTATGAAGAATCTCCTAAGCTTTTTACATAAGTAAATTTCAAGTTCACAGTCTGTTCATTTTGAATTATTTATAATGGGAGACCTTAGTATAATATCTTAGACAAGAGGTTATTAATTCTGCAGACAGGTAATAAAATGCCAAACCTGACAAGAAGGACTTATTCTCACTTTTGATTTTTTTTTTTAAAGCATTTGTAGGGGTTTATCTTATCTACACATGGGGGAACCACGAGTTTGAGAGGTCCAAGAGGAAGAATCCAGCTACCTACGAAAATGACAAATGAACAGCTTACCGGCATGAAGGTTTACTCGCTCTGAAAGACCCTTCTCTGGGAGAGGAGTCTGTATTGTGTCTTGAAGATATAATAAACTTCTGGGCTGTATACACTGTTGTAACTTCACATTTTTGTAAGCAGAATCCTTAGTTTGACTGCTAATAGTCTAGATTCAAGTTCATGAAGTTATACTTTTCACAAGTTCTATGCAGCTTTGTGTAGTCAGGTTTTGAGATAAACTCCCCCACCCCAATTCTGTAGTTTGCAAGAAAGTTGCCACAGCTAATCAATAGTGGTAACATGGACTGTGGAGAATGTTGATTCTTGGCTCTCTGCTCCCAGTATGAATATAAGTCTGCTAACTATTGTGTCAAGTACTTTTGTTAGCCACACAAACGATCTTTTTGCCAGTCCTGGAGCTTGAATTCTGGGCTTGGGTGCTGCTGTCCTTGAACTCCTTTTGCTATGTGAACCATAGCACTACTTCCGGCTTTTTCTGTAATTGTCTCCCAGACTTTCCTACCTAGGCTGGCTTCAAACTCCAATCCTCGGATCTCAGCCTCTTGAGTAGTTGGGATTACAGGTGTGAGACACTGGTGCCTGGCACAAATGATCTTTTAAACTTTCTAGCAACCTTTGAACTAAGTATCATTAGTATGCTCATTTTGTGTACAAGAAAACAGATACAAGTAATTTGCTGAAAATTATACAACAGTGAATGGTAGAGTCTAGCACCCAGGATATGCTCTTAAAACTACGCCATATTGCCTCTCCTCCAAAGGCAGGACTTGGTTTGAGGAGAGTCAACTGTGAATGGAGGCTGTGGGCTGATTATACCACAGAGCTGACAATGATTGCTAACTATATGTGAACTGTAAAGACTATTTTCTCTATCCCTTTGTGGAAAATGTCTATTCCTGCACTGGAGCTGAAAGCTACCATTTAACCTTCACCTGAAGATAGTGGAAACTTCTTTTAGAATACTGGTTAGTCTACAGCAACTTTTATATCCTCTAATGTTTGATGGTTGCTGTTACCCCTTTTTTTTCCTTTAATTTTTTTTTTCTTTTGTTGGTCATAGAGCGTGAACTCAGGGCCTGGGTACTGTTCCTGAGCTTTTTCCGCTGAAGGCTAGTGCTGTAACTTAACTTTGAGCCCACAGCACCACTTCCAGTTTTCTGCTGGCTAACTGAAGAAAAGTCTCACAGATTTTCTTGCCTGGACTGGCTTTGAACTGTGATCCTCAGATCTCAGCCTCCTGAGTAGCAAGGATTACAGACACGATGAGCCACCAATGCCCAGATCAATTTCTTTTTTTTTTTTTTTTTAATTTGCGATTGCCTTTTGAGAACTGAAATTACTTGGCTTGCAAAAAAGGCAGATATATGGGACAACCGTGTCTGACAATCTGGGCCCATTCCTTTAAACTGTCACGTTCTGGGGCTGAGAATGTGGCTTAGTGGTAGAGTGCCCGCCTAGCATGCAAGAAGCCCTGGGTTCAATTCCTCAGTACCACATAACCCAAAACCTTCTCACTGTGATATAACCTTGAGGCTTAAGTTTCTCACCTATAACAAAAATGTGACCCATAAAGTCCTTGAGTTGTGGCAATGATGGCATGAGGAACCTAGAAGTTTCTGGCAAGGTGGTATAGGCTAAGAACAGCTATCAAGAAAACATTTGCCTCCCCAGACATGGTCCAGTTTTCCTGTTGTTTTTTTTTTTTGGCCCAGATTAATTTCCTTGGTCTGGCTGCCAAGTCTTACAACACATGTGGGTTGTAGAGTCCAGTGAGAATTTATAAAAAGCTGTGGGCCTGAATACAGTATAGCTGCCCCTATCCTGGTTGCACAGCATTTCAGCCGGTTCACCTCCAAGGAGGACTGCTTACCTTGATTCCTCTTCACCTTACTGGACTTGTTCTACAGTTATTGTTGGTTCTTTGACTCCTTTATATGCCAGAGTGCTCTTCGGAGACCACCTGAGGGTCTGAGATTCCACTTATGGCTCAGCTTGTTAAAGGATGCGTTCAAAGCTGGACACCTGTAATCCTAGCTACTCAGGAGGCTGAGATCTAAGAATCATAGTTCAAAGCCAGCCTAGGCAAGAAAGTCTCTGACTTTTATCTCCTATCAACCACCAAAACACCATAGGTGGCACTGTGGCTTAAGTGGTAGAGTGTTAGTCTTGAGCACAAAAGCTTAGGGACAGCTCCCAGGTCCTGAGTTCAAGCCATATGACACACCAAAAAAAAAAAAAAAAGATGCTTTCCACTTGGCTGGAGGAGGGACTTCTCTCTGGAACTTGGGAGCGTGGATCTGGTACCAGCTGGAGACATGGGTGTGGGGGATGTGGTGGCTAGGTATCAGTATAGATAATTAGGGGTCACTTTAGGGACTATTTGTAGGAATCTACAAAGGACAACTTCAGGTAAGTTTTTTGTGCCAGTACTTGGGTTTGCTGTCCCTGAGGTTTTGTGCTCAATGCTGGTGGCTCTACCACTTGAGCCAGGTACCATTTCCAGCTCTATTTGGTGGTTCAGTGGACTTAAGAGTCTCAGACTTGGGCTGGGAAGGTGGCTCAGTGGTAGAGCGCTTGCCTTGCATGCATGAGGCCCTGGGTTCAATTCCTCAGCACCACATAAACGGAAAAAAAAAAAAAGCCGGAAGTGGTGCTGTGGCTCAAGTGGTAGAGTGCTAGCCTTGAGCTGAAGAGCTGAGGGACAGCGCCCAGGCCCAGAGTTCAGGCCCCA